GGCCCGGGAACGATGCTGGGATGGCTCATGGAAAACACCCTGGAGCAGCTGGGGCAGGAATGTGGGAGCTCAATTTAATTCCAATTAATTGGGAGCTGCTCCCTGAGCCTCCTTTCACTGCCCCAGCCCTGCAAACTCACAATTCCAGCTTGTCTTTCACACCTCCAGAATCCTGGGAGAAATCCCATTCCTGATTTTCCTGCAGGGCACTGGGAGGACTGGGAAAGGCTGGAGCAGCCTGGAAAGCAAACACACACCTGGGAGGGGAGAAAATCCAGCAGGAGCTGTTTGCACAGGACACAGGAGTCACAGCATCAGGCAGGGAATTGCAGGAATCACCTGGGAATTATTGCCAGGGGACACAAGAGTCAGGGAATCAGGCAGGGAAATACAAAAATCACCTGGGAATTATTGCCAGGGGACACAGGAGTCAGGGAATCAGGCAGGGAATTACAGGAATCACCTGGAATTATTGCCAGGGGACACAGGAGTCAGGGAATCAGGCAGGGAATTACAGGAATCACCTGGAATTATTGCCAGGGGACACAAAAGTCAGGGAATCAGGCAGGGAATTACAGGAATCACCTGGAATTATTGCCAGGGGACACAAAAGTCAGGGAATCAGGCAGGGAATTACAAAAATCACCTGGGAATCATTTAAAGAGAGCAAAAAAAAAAAAGGCAGGGAATTACAAGAATCACCTGAAATCATTGCCAGAGGACACAGAAAAGGCAGGGAATTACAAAAACCACCTGGGAATCATTCAAAGAGGGCAAAAAAAAGGCAGGGAATCAGGCAGGGAAAAACAAGAATCACCTGGAAATCGTTTGAAGAGGACAAAAAAGCCACAGAATTAAGCAAGGAGTAACAAGAATCACCTGGGAATCATTTAAAGAGGGCAAAAAAGGCAGGGAATTACAAGAATCACCTGAAAATTGTTTGAAGAGGACAAAAAAGCCACAGAATTAAGCAAGGAATAATAAGAATCACCTGGGAATCGTTGCCAGAGGACACAAAAGTCACAGCAGCAGGCAGGGAATTACAAAAACCACCTGGAAATCATTTAAAGAGGGGGAAAAAAAAAGGCAGGGAATCAGGCAGGGAAAAACTAAAATCACCTGAAAATAATTTGAAGAGGACCCAAAAAAGACAGGGAATCAGGCAGGGAATTACAAGAACCACCTGGGAATCATTTCAAGAGGGCAAAAAAAAGGCAGGGAATTACAGAAATTACAAAAAGAGCTGGTTTTAAGCTACAGCTTCTCTTCCCCTAAAAGGTTTTCAAACATTTTTTTGTTACAAACTCTTTTTGCAATATATAATACTACAACTATTTTAAAATATATAAATCTATTATTTAGAATATATATATGCAAATATATAAATATATTAGTATCTAAAATGTAGTAATATATATATAATGTAAATAAATATAAATATATATATTAAATCTATTTTTAAATCTATTTTTAAATATTTATTGACATATATATATAAAAATACCAAATGCAGCTCAAGGGGACAAAGAGCAACAAACTTCAATTCAACACAATAAAAATGAAAGCTCTTGGGTACCACAGTTAGCCAAGAGCTGGTTTGAAGTTATAATTTCTCTTCCCCTAAAAAGTTTTCAAACATTTTTATTATAAATATTTTTTGCAATATATAATACTAAAAATATGTTAAAATATATAAATACATAAATAAATATTCATTATATAAATATATACATAGGTATAAATATATAACTATATAACTATATAAATAAATTTATATCTTTTTAAATAAACTTTATAAAATATATGTGTGTATATATATTTGTATATAGAAATACAAAGTGCAGCTCAAGGGGACACAAAGAGCAACAAATTTCAGGTCCCAGTGCCCCGAGTGCCTCCCTGCAGGGCTGAGAGGAACCCAGGGAGGTACAACTGGGCACCCCTAAAATCCCAATTCTGCAACCAAAGGGGTCAGGAACAAAAAAAAACCTAATTCTGCACCTATAAAATGCCAATTCTGCAACCAAAGGGGTCAGGAACTCCTAAAAACTCAATTCTGCAAACCAAAGGTACCAATAAAACCCAAATTCTGCGCCAATAAAAGTCCAATTCTAGAAATCAAATGGGTCAGGATCTGATAAAAACCCAATTCTGCACCTATAAAATGAAAATTCTGCAACCAAAGGGGTCAGGAACTGATAAAAACCCAATTATGCAAACCAAACGAATCCTAAAAGTCCAATTCTGCACCAATAAAAGCCCAATTCTGCACACCCAGGGATCAATAAAAGCCCAATTCTGCACACCCAGGGAATCAATAAAAGCCCAAATTTGGCACCAATAAAAGCCCAATTCTGCACACCCAAGGAATCAATAAAAGCCCAATTCTGCACACCCAGGGATCAATAAAAACCCAATTCTACACCAATAAAAGCCCAATTCTGCACCAATAAAAGCCCAATTCTGCACCAATAAAAGCCCAATTTGGCACCAATAAAAGCCCAATTTGGCACCAATAAAAGCCCAACTCTGCACCAATAAAAGCCCAATTCTGCACACCCAAGGAATCAATAAAAGCCCAATTCTGCACCAATAAAAGCCCAATTCTGCACACCCAAGGAATCAATAAAAGCCCAATTCTGCACACCCAGGAATCAATAAAAGCCCAATTCTGCACACCCAGGGAATCAATAAAAGCCCAATTCTGCACACCCAGGGAATCAATAAAAGCCCAATTCTGCACACCCAAGGAATCAATAAAAGCCCAATTCTGCACACCCAGGAATCAATAAAATGAAAATTCTGCACACCCAGGGAATCAATAAAAGCCCAATTCTGCACACCCAGGAATCAATAAAAGCCCAATTCTGCACACCCAGGAATCAATAAAATGAAAATTCTGCACACCCAAGGAATCAATAAAAGCCCAATTCTGCACAGCCAGGGATCAATAAAAGCCCAACTCTGCACACCCAAGGAATCAATAAAAGCCCAACTCTGCACAGCCAGGGATCAATAAAAGCCCAATTCTGCACAGCCAGGGATCAATAAAAGCCCAATTCTGCACAGCCAGGGATCAATAAAAGCCCCACTCTGCACCCCAAGGCCGCCCGGGGCTGAGCTCTGCCAATGCCGCTCTGGAAGGGAACCAGCCTGGCCCCTGGACACGCAATTATTCCATGGTGCCACAAGAAATGAGTCACCTTCCATTAAAAAATAAATGAAGAAAGTTTCCAGCGTCCTCTCTTCCTGCCTGTGGTGTTTACCCTGCGCCGGGCCAGTTGAACTCTGCCATCCCTGCTGAGCGTTAATTAGAATTAAACGTCCAGGGAGGGAACAAAACCCAAACCCCTCCCAGCCCGGACACTGAGCGCTTCTCCCGTGGAAATGCAAAGCTCCGCATCAAACCCACCTTTAATATCAGGCAAACGAGATCAGCTGTGCTTTTTGTCCTCTGCAATGGAAAAACCACCCACACTCTTCACCCTGGCAGCTCCCACCCCTCCAAAGGAGTTTTTGCAGAATAATAAATCTGATCCTGGCGTCTCCCGCTGCTCGGTTTACCTCGAGAAGCCTCGGGGGAGAACTGCAGGAAGAAAACCACGAGAATTCCAAAGAAACGAGGGAATGGGCAGCGCTGGAGCCAGCCCAGAGCTCTGCTGCTCCACAAATCCCAAATTTCCCTTCCCCAGCTCCTGCCAGCGCTGCAGCACCCCAGAGCTCCGAGAATTTGGGAAGAGTCCCAGAGCTCCGAGCCCTTGGGAAGAGTCCCAGAGCTCCGAGCCCTTGGGAAGGGTCCCAGAACTCCGAGCCCTTGGGAAGAGTCCCAGAGCTCCAAGCCCTTGGGAAGAGTCCCCAAGAGCTGCTCCAAGTCTTTGGGAAGAGTCCCCAGGAGCTGCTCCGAGCCCTTGGGAAGAGTCCCGGAACTCCGAGCCCTTGGGAAGAGTCCCCAGGAGCTGCTCCAAGTCTTTGGGAAGAGTCCCCAGGAGCTGCTCCAAGCCTTTGGGAACAATCCCAGAGCTCCGAGCCTTTGGGAACAATCCCAGAGCTCCGAGCCTTTGGGAAGAGCCCCAGAGCTGCTCCAAACCTTTGGGAAGAGGAGCCCCGGAGCTCCGAGCCCTTGGGAAGAGTCGCCAGGAGCTGCTCCGAGCCCGGATTTGGGAGGTTGGAGGCACAGAAAGGCAGGGCAGGCTGCAGCCCTCCCTCCCCGCCTGGGGATGATGCGGATTCCCAAATTCCCCTCCCGGCAGGCACCGAGGTGAGCGCGGCTGTCCGCGCCTTAACGCGAGTTTAACCCCAGCTTAGGGCGAGTTTAAGCCGAGCGTTTCGGTGACCTCGCGGTGATCGGGGGCTCGGCAGGAGGTGGAAATACCCTCCGTCCGCTGGGAGCAGCCCTGGCCCGGCGCTAACACACACAGCAAATCCGGGAGCCCCGGAGCGCCGGCAGAGCCTGGGCACCGCTGGCAGCGCGGGGAAGGGCGCACGGAGGAATTCTGCGGATGGATGGGGCGCAATTATCTCAGCGCCTCAGGGCAGCGATGCCGACCTGCTCCGGCGAGACACAGCAGGGCACAGATGCGGATAATTGCTCTAAAATAACGACGTTTTCTAAGGAATCGGGCGATTCCCCATGGGATGCAGCTTTTAGATGTCACAACCTCGGGTGCCCCGAAAGCAGCAAAGCCCGACGGAGCGGCGGCTCCGCGGCGACGGGAAGGACGTGGCGGAGCAGGGAAGCGGCGAGCCCCGGGGCCGGAGCCGGGCTGTCCCGGGGGCAGGGGCGGCACGGAGAACAAAGGAGCCGGGGCAGCCCCGGGGCTCTGGCGGCGAGCCACCGAGGGACACGGGCTGACAAAGGGCACGGCCGGCGTCCCCAGGGCCGCCCGGCACCGCCCTGCCCGCCGACACGCCGAGCCGCCCTCCGCATGCCCCGCAGCCCCGAGGCGCGGGATGCCCGGCGCCCCCGGCGGTCCCCCCGCGGCTCCGGGCGGGGCACGCACCTGAGCGTGGGGCCGATGCAGGCCGTGTCGGTGCTCTCGATCTCGCGCAGGATCCGCTCGTGCTCCGCCGCCGTCTCCAGGCTCTCCAGCTCCGCCATCTTCGGCCGCTCCATGGGCGCCGTTCCACCGGCGCGGCCCGGCCCGGCTCGGCTCGGCTCGGGCGGCGGCAGCGGCACCGCCGGGGCTGCTCGGCGCCGCTCCGCGCGCGGCGCCACGGGAGATGTAGTCCCGGAGCGGGGCCGCGCCGCGCGGAACCACGGGAGATGTAGTTCGGGAGCGGGGCCGGGCCGCGCGGAACCACGGGAGATGTAGTTCGGGAGGGGGCCCGGGCCGCGCGGAACCACGGGAGATGTAGTTCGGGAGGGGGGCCGGGCCGCGCGGAACCACGGGAGATGTAGTTCGGGAGGGGG